TGTGTCCCATAATTCCAGCCCATAATAGATGTACAAAAAGTCAGATTTATCAGATGCTTGGTTAATTCAAATCAGAGTTAAATTTGGAAGTTTTCCCTTTCTATCATGCTTTTACATTAACAGTTGCCGGTGTGCATGTGAAGTACCAGCAGTCCCTTACAACAAGCAATTATGTACATTCTCCTAAAATATGCTGACAGTTCAGCAACAGCATGCATAAACCAGGCCCAATCCCAAAGAAGAGTCTTGTTATCAAGAAACTCTGAACAGCATTATTCAATTGATGCTAGCTGTAAAGCAGCCATGACTGTGGAAGGTCATGGTATTTTATGAAGGGAAATGCATTAACTGAAGCACTAAACCTTCAGGAAAATCTATGTGTTTTGTCCACAGGAAAAACATTTCTTTGGTTTCTCAAAAGACAGCTAAGGAAATTGGCTAGCAACAACATCAATTCTGGTTCTTTTGTAGATAAAGATTACATTATATCTTAGCAATGATAACAAGAAAGCAATATGCTTTTCCCTTTTTAGCATCTTCGTAGACTTTTAGCTGAGCCACTGTGGGACAGAAATCTGGTGAACCACTGGTACAGCAGGAAACAGAAAGTCAAAAAGGCATTTGCAGGGACCTTGGCCAACAGGCTGCCAGCTTATGCCAGCTTTCCTCAAAAAAGAATAACTGATTTAGTTCTGATTTTATGTCTAGTTAGAAACACCAGTTTGAGCAGCACTTGCACAAAAATACTGAGAATCTAGGTCTCAAAGTCTTGTAAAATTTAAACTGCTAAACCAGAAGGACTTACCATGTGGAAGAACTTAAAAGCTACTGAGGATACCTACAGTTCAGCCTACTCAGCTCTTTCAATATGGTTGAAAATGTAACAAATTAATGTTGAGAGTGGTCTTAAAAATCTTGATATGAAAGACAGAGCACTCAAGAAAAGCATAATTAGTGCACTGGAAACCAAAAACGTAAAGAAACTAGTCCAACACAATGAGCTGAAACCAGGCATACAGTTAAAGGTAAGAAAGAGATGAGAGATTAAAGGAGTCTAACTGAAGTTTCTTTTGCAGAAGAGGCATTTTAAGATGAGAATCTCAAGCTCTGGTGCAATACAGTCATGTAGTCTCTCATTTTAAAGTAACATAATTCATTTCTAATCCTTGTGGCTACACCAAAAAGCTGTCAGAGTTATGATCAAGGTTCAATATAAGGGTTAAAAAACCAGGAGAAGAAGAACAAAAAGTACATATAAAGTCTAGCCAATCAAACCAGAAATACCGCTTTTGAACTTATCTCAGCATTTTGAGATAAGTTTGTGATCTGAGTCTTATTAGTGGGTGAGTTTGGATCAAAATCAGAGATACAGTAATAAGCACCCCCTTAAATATAATAGTACTCCAGCCAGCTTTTTGGTATAAAGACTTACGAATTCAGAAATTTAGTTACTGGCACATAATTACTTCACGCTTATCCACAAGAATGAGTTTGCTTCTGTATCACAGGAGGAGATATAGACAGACTCAGAGTTGCAGAAAGGAAGAAGGAAGCAAAGGATTCCCTATCTGTAACTACCCATGTTCAGGGAGCGTGCAAATATTCAGTATAGCCCTTTTAAAGCCCATTAAGTTGGCTGGCTGAGCCAGACTGCTTGAGGGCTCTTCAAACTCTTCTTGACTATTTTCACTTACAGACAACCCCCGTGAAACCATGTATTTAATGTAACTATGCATAACACTTAGAACTTCACAGGCTTTTGCAGTGTGACAAATAAGCCTTCATTCTGCCATCACATTTTTTCCCTAGAACATCATGCTGCAGTTTCTCTTTCTATTTAGTTAGGCTGCTTAAATAAATAAATATCAGTCCCTCTATCGCTGGATCATTCATATTTAAATTGTTGGTCTGCAGATAACTGTTTTCTGCCTTCTGTACTTAACCCCTCTGCCTCTCTTACATATCCACCTGTGTTCAGGATTATTAAGTGCTGGATGGAATTTATAGCCAGAGCAAAGCCCTGCTTGTCATCTAAATTTTGCTGTACTTGGATTAACTCAGTAGCACTTGCACACTGACTGAAGGAGAAAAGCTAATCTCAGCTCATGCCATAGCAGCGTGCTTTTCACCACGTAACAGTGAATCTCTTCCACTGGAACGTGAATCACTTCTAATGCCATCCAGATTTTTATGTTTATTGAGTTTTTCTTGACTAAGTCTGACCTTGGGTTTGCCTTCATTAGGTTCAGCTACTTGGCAGGACAGACTAACAAGCTTCAGTTCACCTTCAGGCTGGGAGCCCTACCTCCTGAGCTCTGGCAAGAAAGCTTTGGTTATTTAAAACATCACTGCCCTCACCTTACCGATGTCCTGGATGTTACTTCTCTGGTGAGAGAGTGGTAGAAGTAACAGGGCACTGCCTCCTTGCTTGTCCTTGGCCACTGGTCTGTACATTAACCAAGCAGGGGATCAGCTTTCAGGGACTGGCACAAGCTGCACCTGGGGAGGCATCTCCCAACCACGAGGAAAGGCAGGCAGACAGGTGGTTTGTTTTAACCCATGCTCAGGAGGCCTTACAGGGCTTTTATCCATGATGGCATAGGAGCATCAGAGAGTACTGGCAAGGCTTCTGAAGGTAGAATGTAGCGCAGTTACCAGATTTTAGCTGTATGCTTCCTGCAACAGGAAAAATTTTGGCTAGAGCCTCATAGCACTCACACATGCTACTTGAAAGCCCTGATCAAACCACCTTGGTTGTTTGGTTAATGTAGGCAGCTCTTGATCCTCACCTCCACAGTAGCTCACAGATCCACCTCAAAGCAAGGCTATTAGTCTCACAGCACTTGCAAAACGTAGATGCCTGCCTTTGGGTATGCCATTGTGTTCCTGGGACACATCTGAGTGTTGGAAAGCACTTGCAGAACAGATCACTTCAATACAGAGACCATGGATATATGTGAGAATTCAGTTACACAGCTGCCAGCTGGGTATTTCAGTGCAGGAGAAAGTGCAGGTGCTATGCAGGCACATTAGCCATGCCATTCTCTCTACCTCCAGAAAATGTAACACGTTTACGTTATCAGTTGGCATATGCTCACTAAAGGCATGGTTTTGCACTCTCTTAGCTCTCACAGACATTAGAGCTGTAGCTGATCACCAGGCTGGAAATTCGTCTTCTTTGGCTCACCCTCTTATTAGGTATTCACTTTTCTCTCTAGAAGCTGCTGTAGGAGCTTATGATTATGAAAAGAAACCACCTCTCCCTGGGAGCAGGGGTGCTGATACTTGAATAGAGCCATGCTTTTGTACTTTGTCTGCAGTGAGAGGTGACACAGAAAGCAGAGCACTGCTGTAGCATGTTCCCTCTCCTATACACACAGTGGATCACAGATCTTTCTACTGGATCTACTGGGCAGAAACCAGCAGGAGTGTGTGGAAAAACCAGGCCACTTCCTGAACAGCTTTGGAAAGCACCACTGTTGACCACTCCAAAGAAAAAACTGATCTCCACACATCCTTCTGCAGGCTTTGTTCCTGTGTTGTCCATTCTGTTGCTTTACCCTTCAAGTTATTCTTCGGTTCCTTCATCTTCTTAAATATGTCTCACCATACTGAGTTATGGCATCATGTCAGTTCTGTGGCATGCATACTCCTTCACTCATGCTTCCCCAGTCTGTCACCTCATCTCTACTCCAAAGAGCTTAAGCTAGACACAGCTATGTAAGCAAACCCCTGGGCTTACCTGCCCTGATGCAGAGGTCTATCTACTCATGAGGACGAGCTGTATCCAAACCATTCCAGCATAGGCTTAAATGCTTTCTCAAAGTTCAGAGCTCTTGCTCATGAATCCCTCAAAGCAAAATGTCTTCTCTGCCCAATAAAATTTGTGGATGCCACATGGGGGAGCTTGTGCTGTGGCTAAAGCTCATCACTTCCAGATCGAGCGAAAAGGACAGCTCAGCAGTATTAACAACTTCAGCTGCTGAAAACACTCCCTTCTGCACAGGCTGTTTGAAAATCATGCCATATACATACATAGTGCACACTCATTTTAATAAAGATGTTACTTTTCAAAATTATCGTAGGTGACAGTCATTGAGTCTGCTTTGAAAAAGAAGTCAAACCTATAACTCATAAACTGTAACTCATAGCCTGGTAGAATCATAGAATCATTTAGGTTGGAAAAGCCTTGTAAGATCACTGAGTCCATCCATTAACCCAGCACTGCCAAGTCCACCACCAAACCATGTCCAGAAGTGCCACATCAAATAAATAGTGAGCAAAATGATAGATTTAATAAAATGAAAATTCCTGTGTTTTAAAGAGATAAGCAAAGCAAATGAGTAATGAGGATCAGTTCCAGATGTACACTGAGATGATTTATATAAACAACAACTAGCCTGGAGTTAACCCTTAAAATCACAACCATGTCTTAAGAGACAATAAGAGAGTTAAAACTTGGCTCTCCAAGTCATTCAGAAAATAAGCCATCTGGTAGCCTGAGATGAAAAACGACATAGGGTTTTTGGTGTGGGAGAGGTGTTGTCGAGTTGTTGTTGTTGCTGGGTTTGTCGGTGTTTTTTTTTTTTTTTTAACCAAATAATTCGAAAGCAGTTTGTAGGTATGAAAAAGCCTGACCACGTGGAAAGACAGCTGGGGGCAGTCCAGTCCTGAGCTTCACCCTCCAAACCACCCCGCAGGGTAGTCGAAGACCTCTCACAAAGTATTGCATTGCCTTGTACGCAAAATACCTCGCAGTTCGGACAATTTACATCAAACAAAGCAGCGCACGGAAGGGACGCCGCAGGGCGGAGGGCCGGGCTCACCATCGGCACATTGCCTGGGGGGAGGAAGGCGGCCGAAGGGATGGCCCCCCTCTCAGGGCCGCCCCGCACGGGCGGGCTGGGGCGGCCGGGCCGGGGCGGGGCGGGGGCGGCCCCGGCCCCATAAGAGGCGCGGGGCGGTGGCGGCCGCAGTGGCACCGGGATCTGCGGCGGGAGGCAGGGAAGAGAAGGAAGGGAGAATGCAGGCGGTGCCCGGGACCATGGCGACCCGGCCCTTCAAGATGAGGAAGAGTTTCGGTAGGGGTGGGGGTCGCGGAGGGGCTGCCCGGGGGCTGCGGGGCCGCGCCCACGCCTAACTCTCCTTTGCTCTCCTCTCCCGCGCAGCCACCCGTCTGGAAGAAGTAGCAGGAATCCGGGCGAAGTTCCCAACAAAAATTCCGGTAAATCCTCTATTTTGTTGTCGGGTGGTTTTTGCTAATGTTTTAAAAAGTAGCGTTGGGAACCTCTCTCGGAAATGTGGGCGGGGAGGGGATGCTTTAGGTTTTGTTGAGCATGACTCTAATTGAAACAGGTAATTGTTGAGCGATACCATAAAGAGAAATACCTTCCTCTCCTGGACAAAACCAAGTTTCTGGTTCCCGAGGAGCTGACCATGACACAGTTCATAACCATCATCAGGTGGGTAGCTGGGGCTGGCTGCTGCTCTGCAGGCAGGTATTTCCTGGTGCTTTGCTGGGGCATCTTGCTTGCCTTGCTAGGGAGGAGGATAAAGGTGTTACTAATGTAATGGCTTCCCTTTCCTGCAGCTTTTCAAAGAAAATGAGCAGTTGTTTTTACAGGTGCATTTGGGGAAAAAATGGGTTCTGTGCTTTTTTTGAATCTTAAAGTCTTCTTCTCACTAACTGTAGTGAATAAAGAGTCCTGTTCTGCTTTCTTCCTGCTTGATGGATTTGGTACAGGGGCTCTGTGATTTTGTTCTCTTTATGACTGTCATTGCCTTGCTCTCTTGCTGCATCTAGCTGAATGTGCTCAAGCTCAAAGCACTCTGAAGTTTGAGTGGAATGAAATGTGCTTCTAAATTGATTTTAACGAAACGTTACAGGGAAGAAGTCTCCCAAAATATTGTGTTATTTTCTGACAAAGTATGAAAGCTATGTGCTTTCTAGCACACTTCTTAAAGTATAGGAAAAGACCTTTCTAGATTATAACTCTTGTAAAAGATGTTTTTGGCTCTTGGACAGTTTAGATCTTGATTCTTGTATATAATGTGTGTGACAAGGACTCTTCTTTTGAGGGTAGTCTTTATAGTGAGTGTAACAGGTATGTTTGTGATGGAACCCTTCACAAAATCTGTACTGCAGGAGCTTTTGGGTTCCACTTGAGCTTTCCCCTGGTAATTGTGAACTCAAAGCCCATGCTCAGTAGTACTCATAGTCTAACCGTGCAAGCCTTTCCTCAGAGCACAAGCCTTTTGGCTTCCAACCATAGTTAACTTCCTGCTAATGGAGACATTAAACCACAAAATGACTTTATGCAGAATTTCTTGTATATAGTTCATGCAAATTGGTTTGCTTAATGTATTTCATAGACTGAAGTTGAAACCATAACAAATTTGCTAATGCTTAGTCCTTTATTTCTCCTCCCTTTTTCAATTAGAAGCAGGATGGCTCTAACTGCTACACAAGCTTTCTACCTTCTGGTGAACAACAAAAGCCTAGCCAGTATGTCTTTGACAATGGCAGAAGTGTACAGGGACTACAAAGATGAAGATGGCTTTGTGTATATGACCTATGCTTCCCAGGAGATGTTTGGATGCTGTTTACCCACTGCTCAAGGGAAAACTATGGAATGCTTTCAGAAAACTTAAGATTGGGTCCATGTGCTGCAGCGAAGCAGTTTGCTATGAATCATGCCTGTGACATGAACCTTGGAGATGCTCCTTCCACTGTGAGCTCTTGAGCTCTGTAGTGAGGAGTTATGACCCCAAAGCTGGCAGGACCAGCTTAAGGCAGAAAAGGTGTTACACTTTTCCTAGGTAATAATTTGGATATATATTTTTATATTTGAAGACACTATGGGTTTTTTCTTTTTGAACTGCACCTCCACTTTTCTTGCAATACCAATCTTTGTTGTGTAACTGATTTTTAAGGTGTCCTTAAAGCCAAGTCTAAGAGTAAAATAAAGAAGTTTTTTAAGTATTGAGTTGCATATTAGTTTTAATCTGGGGAGAGACTGTTGAAGTCTGTCTAGGAGAAGGTCTTATAATAATTCTGGGAACTTGAGCTCAGTGAAGCACTGCTTGCGTAGCTACTCTGAATTTTTGAATGGAGTGTCAAAGCTTAAGTCGTGTCACCCACAAACAAAATCATACCTATTAATGGTTCATTAAGCTATGTATCTGAGCTGTGAGATTAAGTAGGACTGTACTAGTGCCAGAGCAGTATTAAGTTTAACACCCGGATAAACTACTGTCAGCTGTTACAGAAAACACTATCTGTGATATAGATAACTACTTGTTTAAATAAGCAAACTGATTGCTAGTTAGCAGAACTGAAATGTGGATAGCATAACTTGAAGAGTAATCAAGTGTTCAAGAGTCTATTCTTGCTCCTGAATGTTGCTGTAGATATTGTTATATCAATCCCCTACAGGCACCTGCTAATCAGTTACCCAAAGGACTTCAGTGAGCCTTCTTTCAAGGATGGATAGAGTTAAGTCATGTAACTTGTGCTTAAGAGATATTCCAGTGTCTCTAGAAAATGTCAAATGTCATGTCCTAAGATGCTGATTCATCTTAATATACAGTCTTGGTTCTTAAACATGTGTTAAAGGAACATTTGACATGAGTCTTAGTCTGAAGTATTTCTCAAGCTATCTTTCCCGGTCCTCTCATATGTGAGGAATGTATCGCAAAGCTGGAAACGCTCTGATGATGCATGATCAGCGTAAAACACCAGGTGATTTAGAAATCTGTCACAGTGTACATTTAATTAATAAACCTCTGGCAGCCTTAGTTTAGGATTGGTCAAATTGTTACAATATGATGCAATTCTTCTGTTCAGTACTAAACTGATTTGCAGAGTGATTAATGTAGGAATTACTAGACTGCAAAGAAAGAAGTGTTGACAGTATTTAAATTATGCAAAAGGAAGGAATGTATGTGTAAGCTTTTTGCAGTGGTTCTCTTGCATTAATAATCTCTTGAACTTGAAGCTCTGAGCAGACCTGGGTTTGAGCCTCTAAACCAGGGGATTTAGAGGAGTATCTGCCTTAGTGAAGGTGGTGGTTGCCAACTCATGTTTCATGAGCTGAGGAACAAAGAAATCATTGAACTGACCGACTCTGTGGAAAGGCTAAGTCTATGTCAGTATAGGTTATGAAAACACGTGGGCTTTAGGATCCCAGAACCAGTTGCTTGGATATATTTCACTTATGCTTGTCATGGAAACAATTTCCATTGCACAAATTGAACTCAAATAGTCATTTGTTACCAGCCCTTAGGGAGGCAGAGACACCTGTTTGGCAGGAGCCCCACACAGCAATGTTGAACAGCTGTGGGAACCTTGAGGTAGGGAGAGCAAGGGAGTCTTGCTGTGTTCAAGCTCTCTTGCCAGTCTAGAGGTGGGCTAATATTTTGCTTCATTGGCTCCTCTGTCTTCCTGTCTTGTGTGATACTTGGTACATGAAGAGAGAAGCACTACAGATTCTTGGCTGGAGCAATTTCGTCTGACAGCCAACTTTCTTTGGTTTGTCACCTAGTGGCTAAGGTATAAGTGTTGATCCCTTCAGCACTTGTTGACATTAGGCTATGGTGTCTACAGGCTGAGTCACAGATCCAGCCAAAAAAGTTACACAAGGAGAAGGTCAGTTAGAGGTAAAGAAGGTAAAGAGCATCATTATAAACCTGTTTAAACCGGTCTGCTGAACCTAGAGAGAAGCCCTGTGAATTGGGAAAGCTTCATCAATGGGTAATAGTAGTTGACTTGCCCTTCTACCAGATGTTGAAGCAGGTAGGATATTAACCAGAAGTTCTCATGTAAGAAACCACTGACACTGCTGGAGTTAAGAGGGAAATACAAAAACATCTGAAATCTGAGGCTACAACCTTGCTGTGCTAAAAATGCTGTTTTAATGAAATGTGCCATTCATGTCTAATGTGTGCCTTCACAGTGACTGCTCTGGGAGCAGGATCACTTTCAGATCTGAGTAAATGTCACTCCTGAGGTGCATGCTGTAGGCTGTGTGCACTCTGAATGCTCATAAGGGTGACTGGAGAAGAACACAGTAGCATTTAAAAACAAACAAAAAAAAAGAACACCCATAAGCTCTCCTGGTCAAAAAAAAAAAAGTCTTACCAGTGCATTTGAATTTCAAGGGAGTAGAAAACAGTGTGCTTTTTTCCTATGCCTGCTAAGATGAGAGATTCAGCTATCTGTATTTTCCTTAGATGTCCTATGGCCATCTATAGTCACAGTACAACCTGTGTACAATGCTTTATGGAGTGCAAATTGGCATTTGTTGCTGCAAGGCAAACATCATAACCCCAGCTTGGGCTTTAGCACATGAGCAACAGCAGGAGCTTTCCAAACTGTTTAGATTTAAAAATGACTTAACGTTATTTGTTGGTAGAATCAATAAATGAATGGGAATAGTAATCTTCTTGCTGAAGTATTGCAGGCAACAACTCTTGTGAATTTAGATGGGCTTTTTTATTGTTTTCCCATGCTAACTATTTCCAGATGGTGGTAGTTTCAGGATAAAAATATTTTGAACAGATACATGGTTAAACACACTTAAGTGACAGGCTCTATCCTCCTCTGCAAAGGCGTTCCTTTGTTTATGTAAGGGACAGTAAATTAAAAATGTAGAGTGAAATAATAGGACAAAATATAACCTTCAGCATCAAATTGCCTTGCTGTATTCTCCTTTCAAGAAAGCCTGTGGAGAAACTATAGGGGGGATAACAAAATGACCTAAGCATGAGAAAAACAGTTTTTGAAAAACCACATTCTAACTTACAAGAATATGAAGAAGGGGGGAAGAGAGGGATCATTTCTATGGAAAAACCTCCAAGGGATCCCTGAAGATGATTGAGAAATGCAATTTCATCTATATTACAGTGCAATCTACGTACAAAACTTGTAATGGCACACATACTTCCCTCAAGGATCACTGTTCCAAAAAGATTTCTAGACAAGTCTTAAGGTAGCATACTTTTTTCATAGTTTTGAATCGCTTTATTAAAAAAAAAAAAAGAGAAAAGGGCAACCAAACCCAGATTTCTGCCTATGGATATGTGGTTAGTTTATTTAGTTAGTTAGTTTATTTAGCTTTCCTAGGATGCTTTGAAATAATTAGTTTTACCCACTTTTGAAATAATTAGTTTTACCCACTTCTCTTCCCTGATGTTTTTAGGTTGGCTACTGCTCTTCCTATACATGCATACTTCCCATAACATGCAAGGGCGGCGGAGTCCTATCATAAATAGCAGTGTGACCCTAGTTTAGAAGAACAGGAATATAATTTTAGTGAAGGTAGCTAATGCCCTTTAAGTTCCTCCCCAGAAAGTCATGATCACATCACTTTCTGCCTGTTGTTTTTCCTGTGATGCCTCTCTTGTGACTGCAATATTCCTACACACAATTGTAGCAGTGCAGTCCATGTGGGTTTTGAAGAACATAAAGCAAGTCTTGATGCCACAGTTTGAAAAGCTGCACTGTGCCTTCCCCTGCAGGGGCAGACCCTCAGGAGGGATGGAGTGTACCCAGCTGGGTGCACATGGAGCTTCCAGAGCAGGCAGGTAGGGACTGAGGAGCAGTGGCTTGGGTTGCTCAGCACTTACATCATGTTCTTCAGGGACTGTAAAGGGCCTTTATGAGGCTGCTCATGATTTGTTGCAGGGTGGGCTTGGCTGATGGTGTTTATGTTTTCAAGTATTTCTAGACCCTGACTTCACTTTTTTTTCTATGTATAACAGTATGGTCTGGATCTTAATCAGACCTTCAGCCCAAGCTTTTCTGATGTCAGAAAAGATTGTCCTTGATGGCAAAAAGAACCAGCTTCATCTGCTGTTGACTAAGAGCATCCCTAAAAGTTTGTCTCATTCTCAAGGACAGAACCAAGACAGCCTGCCAGATTGATTTGTAGGGAAATCTTTAGGTCATCTAACCAGTGGGTGAGGAGAGGGGATGAAGTGAGCCAGGGGGTTAAGCATGCATATAAGTGTTTCCACCCAAAGCAGCTGCAGCCATGCACTTCATGAGCCTGCTTGTGACTGCCTGGAAAGCGTGAGATTCAGTGTGACCTCACTAAGGCAACCGTTAGACCCATTAACTCACAAAGAGAAGTTGTGAGAAAGAAAACTTGCACACACATGCTCACAGATGGAGGGTGGATACAGCCTTTTCCTGAATAAAAAGTGAACTCTATCCATGGAAAAAAAACACACGGGAGGGTGCTGAAAGGAAGGCATGGTGAGTAAAGAAATTCTATTTTTAGTGCTGGCACTACTTCACAAGGCAACTTGGCCCTTACTCTGAGAACTTAAAAACAATGTGAAGTGATAGATATGAGTATGGTCTCTGTCTGACCCTTCTCCCCTAAAATGCTGCATCTGTGGTCAAAAATTAAAAGTCAGATAGTGATGTGAGCTGCATATTTGAATGCTGGCTGGCTGAGGAAGAGTAACTCATTTTCCAGCAGCTTGATGCATTAGTCACCAGCAAAATAAGAGCCATCAATAGAAAAAACAGCTGCTGTGCTGCAGGTGAGGGCAGGATCACCAGCTTAGCGCAGACACATCTGTGCTGTCTAGACTGTCAGGGCAACCCAAGCATTGCAGAGGTTATGGAGATAATTTTGCTATGCAAAACTCTATTGGCTCTGTTATAAACCTGTCAAAACTGTCAAGAGAGGCCTCAGGAGAAATGCTGCATTTTCCTAGGAGGCAGCTGGATTTGGTTTAACCCTCAGCTCTTCCTAGCCATCCTCATGCTCACTGACTTTTGTTCCCATTCTTTTTTTGGCAAGGGACCAGACCTTCTGCATTTGCAGAACCTGTGTACAAGTTCCAAGATTGCTGAAAACTATAAATAATATGTTCTTAGTTGCCATGTAACAAATTTGTATGAGAATTCATAGCTGTTCTGCTATTCAGCCTATGTTGGACCCACAAAATTTGGCTATGCTTCAGTCACTCTCAGCCTTTTAAGCCTCTGTCAGGTCTGAAGCAGCAGTTCAAATGGGATGGACACGGCTGTTACTATTTGGGTAGCTCCCCCCTTCCAATGAATTTTGTTGAGACAAAATTTCTTGAATCAGCTGAAGAACAGCTGTGTTTCATCAGTGTGAACTCTTTTTGCTACAGGTACAATAAGGTGGGTTAATGTAGCAGCTTAATTTTATGCCCAGC